TGCCTTAAACACTTGCACCAACCCCGAAGAAAGCAGGGAAAAGAGGGTATAGAGAAGAGAGAGAGGGAGAGAGAGAGAGAGAGAGAAGAGGCAGATGAGTTAGGACTCATGGAGCTCAAGGCTAAGCCTATACCCTGCTGGGCTGCTTCTATATTGGATCGCCTTAAACACTTCCACCAACCGCGAAGAAAGCGGGAAAAGAGATGGTAGAGAGAGAGAGAGGAGGCAGATGAGTTAGGACTTATGGAGCTCAAGGCTAGTGTTTGAGGCAGTCATTACAAAACTCGGTGAGTATTACTGATGCACATGAGATAGGAAGCAGCCTGATCAATTTCAAGAGTTTGTCCTAACTCATGTGTCCTTGCGCAAGGTTTGCTAGAAAAAAATCTAGGCTTGTGCAATTAGAGATAGGAACTAAGGAAGTTAATTTCAAGTTCTTTTCCTAACTCATGTAGTCTGCTCTATCATGGCGTTCCCTGCTTTTGAAGTTCGCATGATGCGTGACTTGAGGCTCTTTGTGGATGTTAGGAAAAAACATGAGATAGGACCTAGAGGCGTACGTGACTCCTATCACATCTCTGCTGGAACCATTAAAAAAATACAACTTGAGCCTCGGCAGGACAAGAGTTAGGAGCCCGCCCCAGGGATAACCCAACTGTCTGGAACAGCTAAATCCTAACTCACCAGGACCTAGTATACTTTACTATTACTAGCCATTAGTAACCATTCTATTTATATTGACAGTAGAACCATTAAGAGTAAGAGTCTTAAGAGTCTTAAGAGCCTTTATCAACCATTCATCATCATTAACCATTGAGAGTCATTGCTAACCATTAAGAATCATAGATAATCGTTATTGACCCTCAGTCATTCCTAACCTTAGATAACAGTTATTGATCATATGATAAACAATGATTAACCCACAAATCAATGGATTGGTTTAAGGGAAAATCTACAGGAAACCCATGGGTTTTTACCATTAAATATGGGGCTTTCCTGTAAATTTTCTCTTAAACCAATCCATTGAACAAACATAAAAGTCCCCAGAGTCCACCCAGGAGAGGATGTTTGATCTCCTGAACAACCGTCAGAGCGTCCCGGTCCCTGGTGCTGCGGTGCGTGCGACATCTGCACGCCCGGACAATGAAACCACCAACTACGATGCCAATGGGAGGCTGGTAGTAACAAGGGGGTGCCGCAACTAAGTCGGTTTATAGTGATTCTAACCATTTGTAAGAATAGTTTCTTGACATATTGGTAGCCAGATTAGATGATAAACCTCTTCCGTCCGATTCATAAACAACCCTAAATGATGAGTTTATGGGAGTTAACATGAGTCAAACATGAAACATGGTGGTGTTATAGCGGTATAATGAGATAGCCATGGGACACAAGCACGCACACATGTGTATACATATAACTATATATATGCATATATTAATACAACTGGTGATTTAACAATTGCTCTTTCCCTCCATTCATATTAACTCCCTCCAAAAACCATGGCTTTAAAAACCGTATATTTGGAACCATGCAATGTTCTTTTTCCACATATGAACTGGGGAAGTGATTATGTAAGAGTACCAGATTGAAAGGGATTTGAGACAGAAAAAACAGCCAGCCCAGCCAGCAGTCCAAAAATCAAGTCACAAATAATTAGTAAACACTAAGTGATGGTGCCTGATGTTGACCCATACCCGTTGATACACAAAACCCCTGTTTTCGGCGTAAAAAAATCCATCATGTTGGATCCGTTTGGGGGCTCTGACTCTGACATGGAAGGTGAATGGCCATTTGACATCATTTAACCGACAGCATAGCTGGGTACTTCCATTTGTCTGCGGTAAAACGCTGTAGATATGAATTTATTATTGGTAGAATTGGGGAAATTACAGAACCCCCTATAATCATCTATAATCAATATAACATAATATAACCATCTTATTATAATCATCTATAATCATCTACAATCATCTATAAACTCGGCTGTAAAAACCATGATTTCCTATAGCTTCCCCCAAGAAAACCTGGCAAAACAGGTGGCAACTCCCGTTTCGGATTTCGATGTTCCAGGTGGCAGCCGCCTGGCACATTTCTCAGCAAAGCGGCCACACCCATCAGCTTCTCCACGGCTAAGGAGGTGGTGTTGGATGGTCCTCTGGACGTGGCTGGGCACGGTGGATACGTGGGGTGAACCCATAAAGGGTGTGAAAATGGCTGGATGTGAACGGAGATTCAGGTTTCCAATCCATGGGGTTTCCCCGAATACCCCAATAGCTGGAGTTGTTTTTTTCCGTTTGAAAATGTGAAAATCAAATGGGAGTCATGGGGGTATATACCCCCATGGATTGGAAACCGCTAGATGTGCTGTATATGTTTTGATAGTAGGCATTGATATAAGTCATATGCGAAATTTGTCTAAGACACAACTGCTAGACTTGGAATGGCATCATGGGGATTGTTTTGTGATGGTATAGCCAAACGAAAAGATCCAGCGCATCCCTGTTTCCAAGGGTCTGCGGGATTGACAAAAACTCTAGCAGTAGCATACACATATTTGAGCTGACAAAAAATGAACATGTGTTCCCAACAGTAAGAGCGTGGTCCTGGGACGCGGGCAGCTTGGCTGGCCACTCCCATTTCTAACATTTCCCAACATTCCCAACATGTGCAGTGGCCAACTTTCAAGGCACAATCCCTTTAGCCCCCCCAAAAAAACTACACACCTGCCTTGAGAGAAAGCTTGCTTTGTTCCCATTTTGGGTGCTTTAAAATTTTAAAACTTAAGGCGTTTCTTGACCTTCCGGGAACGTGACTTTCGTGGCCCTGAGGTGGTCCAGGTGGCCCGCACGGTGGAGAACTGCCGCTCGGCGCAGTCACATGCCTTGAACCATCGCTCTTCACGCTCGCACTGTTTGATCACCTTGTCCTTGCGGCAGATCGATGCCAAAGGCGGGGACCCGATGGACCCGATGGGCCCGTGGGCGCACCGGGCTGGGCTGCTGGGAGGGCTGCCTTGAGGCTCCAGGTGCTTGGGGAACCAAGGGGCATCCTCAGCAGTGCGAGGCATTTGATTTGTGGCAAAATATGCAGAAAGGACCCTGGTGGGTGCGGAAAACCTGGGGTTGTCAATTGCCAAACTGCTGGTACAGGCTGGTACAGTATCAACAGCAGTATGAACTCCACAACCCATCTGGGATGGATCAAAACCAAGGCAAGCTGCCGGATTTGGGGGGAACATCCAGCAAAACCAGCTATTGTGGGGTTGGGGTTGCGGTGGCTCCTTGAGAAAAAAGATAGACCCCTTTGTGCAGGAATGCGATAAGAAACATGTAAAACAGATCAGCCAGCAGCAAACTGATACGATCTCCATATTTTCTTGGATTGTTTGGTAGGTGGTTTTCTTGATTCTTGCCATCAAGGACAGATCTATGATATATGCACAGATGATTATATAATTATATCTATATATATATATTTACAGATGTATTATTTATTCTTTGTGTATATACCAAGGAATTATTTTTTGCCAGGCCGAAGCCGCTGTTCCAGCCGTCCAGGCAAACTGCAAGCAGGGCAGGTGGTTTTCGTGGACCTCGCTGGCTCGGAGCGCGTGGGGAAGTCGGGAGTTCATGCCGACGCGACTGGTGGGGCGCGTGCATTTAGCTCCGCGGATCGGTGATTTTTGAGGCTTTTCCAACAGTAAAATGTGTCGAAATATGTCGAAATATGTCAAAATCAGTGAATTCCGGGGAATGGATGGTTAAAGCATTACCATGTTTTACCGTTTATTAATGTTTTATAATGTTTTCAGCGCACAAGAAAAAATGGTGATGTAAGAATGTTGAATGATGTTGTTAGTAGAAACGGGCCATTCGTATTGTGGTTCAGATGGTTCAGGTCGCTAAATTCACATGTTCAGCATATGACAATTTTGTGGGTTTAAGCCCACTGACATCCCAACGTTGATCCATACCCAAGTTCGTCGAAAAATAGGAGGTACTGTATAGACCATTTACAACATTTGACACCAAATAATCCCCTCTCAATTTGTGAGTTTAGGAGGGAAAGATCGAAAATGATCGAAATCGTTCTGAATATGCGGAGCGGTCTACTGATCTCCTCAAAAAACTGTCAGTTACAGCATGCGCAACCTGCGATCTAAATTCCAGACACCAAGTATATCCAATTATTGCAACCCATTGCAACCCACTAAAGGGATACCCAAGTAAAATCATCCTGACATAGTGGCAAATGTTTGTTTTTTTGATTAGTTACTACAATTGTAAGTAGATGCTGATGACGTCAGATATGGTTTGAAGATGCTTGAAGCACAGAAAGATGTGCAAATACCCATGTACTTGTGTGTGTGTGTCCGTTCTTCCCATCGAATCTATATATTGGTTATGAATTACTGGATATCAAGAGCATACACATCTACATGATTCTACATGCAAGTGCAACTAAGATGCAGTGGATGGTTTTTTGAAATCCTGCACCAGTTCGCAACCAACCAGGTTTACCTGGCAATGTGAAAGTGGACATCCCTGGCACTCGCTTCGATGAAGCGCGCTCGGTGAATTCCTCTCTCAGTCACTGGGATGTAAACCACCAAGGCGGATGTCCCCTGTAACAAAACAACTCCTGTAGTTAGTTCGCCATCGTCAACCAATAGGATCCAAGAAGTGATTAAATGATTTAAATATATTTAAATGATACATGCCTACAAAATGCTAGAAACGGTATGCCGAATCGGCCCCTTCCGAGAAAACTAATGATTGGCCTCTAGACCTCTATGATGAGGTGAGGTCTAAAGTCGTGGGAGACGTTTGTTGCTGTTCATTGTTGGTTGCTTATGCACTTATGCGTATCTTACATGCTAGGATTTAAGTAATTGGGTAAAATATCATATCACATGTATACACATATATACATATATAGTGTTACATCTTTCCACACACACACAGACATGTATATATATATATATTTGTACATGTACATATCTATATTGATATACATTAATATCACACATGCATATATACCATGAATATCCATCAACAATATACATCAATATACATTAATATACCATATATAATAACTTAGGCGCCCTGGGCCGCGTCATCGCAGCCCTGGCGCGGCGGGACAAGTTCGTGTCGTTTCGTGACTCAGCGCTGACGCAGATGCTGAAGCAGCCCCTGACAGGACGATCCCGGGAGAGTTGTGACTAGCAACCATTTCTACTCCATACCTGCTCCATGTATGGTATAGATACCTACATAACTGGGTGATTTTTAGGGCAAAGGTTGGTAAATATTCCATACATGGAGCATATGGGATATGATTATGGTTTTTATATGCATATGTTATAGTTTCTGTATGGTTATATATGGGTTATATATGGGTTTTAGATGGGTTATATATGGGCTATGAAACATTGAAACATTTACTATCTTGGATGCACATGCAAGCAGGGAAACGCAGGGAACTGAAACGCAAAGATGGTGGATGGTGGATGCTGGTTCCATTTTTTGACAATTCAGGTTGTTATTTGGTAACCCTCATTTGACAAAAGCCAAAACCATCGGCCCCCGAGATATTGAAGGTCGGTTGATACTGTAAAACATGAGAAAACCGATAGGGACCCCTTAAATGGTGACTGGTTTTTGACATTTCGGTGGTCGACATTTCGGTGAGAGTCTTCACATGCCGGAACCTCGGCCCAAATTGTCAAGGAGTTGCGATTCTGACACTCTGCCCAGGATGAAATACCGGAAGAAATATGTAGAACCACTTCATTCAAAATCATGTCGGGAGTCGGAAGCACAGCAGAACCACATGCTGGAAACCTTTTTGGGGATGATTGCATGAAAGTGTTCAACAACAAGGGATGAGAAGGGAAGACTTTCAGTTCTCCCTTCATTTGAGGATTAATTCATCAACCTTTTTCAATATCCTGCACCTGAAAATAAAGACAGCTGTTTGAGGTCAACAGCAACACTTAAGTGGTAAAAGAGGTATGGCTACTGGTTTATGAGTTGGTGGATTTATGATTTTGTCAAGAACTCATGAATTTTTGAGAAAAAGGCAACGCATCACTACTACCTGTGCGTGCAGTTCAATTTGTAAGTGGATATTTCACCATGGTTGTAGGGCCCCCACATCCTAACAAACAGAGGTTATGGCACAATAGTCTATAGTCTATAATATTCTATAATTATACCCATCAATCACGATGAATAACCACTAATAATAAGTAATAACCATCAATAACCATGGCTAAGAATTGTGAAAATGATGATTCATCGTTTGAAATCTATATTCACCCATTTTTTAACCCAGATAAACCATGATAAACCCACCTTTTTAGCCATATTTCACCCTCAAAATCACCCAAAAAAAATCACTCCCAACGAAGCCAGGCCACAGTTCCCACATCTTGGTGATGCTGGCGTTACGCAGCGAGAAGGTGAGACTCACGGCGTAAGACATGGCGGCGTAAGCTTGCGGGCGGGGGTTACGTTTATATGTCTATGGCATAGACATATAAACCTAATGTAATTAATATAGTATAGTAACATTTTGTATAATATAACATAGACATATAGTATGGTATAACATAATATTTTCTATAGTATGGCATGGTAATAGTAATCGTATAATAGCAATAGTAATACAATAGGAATCGTAATCGTAATAGTATGGTATGGTATGGCATAGAACAGTATAGTGTAACCCCCAAAAAGATGGAAAAGCTTGGAGCAAAATCCTGCTGGAATAGTGAGAATTGCCGTCCTATGTGTCTGAGGGTTCCTATATATATATATGTATGCATGTTTATAGTGTATAGATATAGTCAAAATGTTGAACAGATATAGATATAGCAGACAAATCCTGATATACTCTACATACATAATCATACATATATGTGCGCTTGGCTGGAAACTATTTTTTATTCTAGTCGTGAACCAATCAATCGACTGCAATTACTTTCTGTTCTTTCAAAAAACTGAAGCATGCTTTCAATCAGCACATGCACGAACCATCTTTTTGTCACATTTTACGACCACACTCAGTCTAGTTGGGCTTGCCACAACTGGATGATGTCTAGGAACCAGGGTTTGAATGTGTTTTGGAGGCAGCAAAAAACCACTGAAAGTGCATACTATCGAAGAAGCGGCACCGCCCCCGAAATGGCAAGTTCCAAAAAGTCAAGACATCTTACTTACATGAATCCATCTCTTAAAATCGTTCTTGTCTTGTCTTGCATGTGAGGTTTAAAAGGCCATGTCATTGCGCCAGGCGAACGATTCGGAGACTTTCTCCACGATGCGCTTCGGCTCTGTGTGTCGCGGTGCTGCTGCCACCAACGCTGGGAGAAATCGATCAAAAGCCGCAGCAAAACAACTGGAGACTCAGCTGAATGTCTTTGGATGTTAATCCGATCGCCAAGTTTTAAACCACCTTGAACACATTTAATTAAACACCACCCAACCATGGTCCCAAAGATGTGTAGATTATTCATTTACCCCTATTTAACTAAGGTTTCTTGGGGGGAGAAGGAAGGGATGTTGTTAAGGGTCCAGTTTTTCCGAACCCCCAAAGTTTCCATGGTGGACCTTGAGAGATTTCTGCCTGAACAGAGCGAAGTCGTGACGTTGGCGAATCAATCTCTTCCAAAGAAACTCCCCAGGATGGAATCTGGAGAAATTCTGGGCAAATCACAGTGACCTCACTGTGACCTCACTGGAATCATGCTTGGTAAGGGGAATCATCCCCAAATGGCCTTATTTCAGGGCGTTGCTCCGTCGGGGGGCCGATTGCGAAGTATGAGGGCCTTATTTCAGGTTAGTGAAATACTACATTTTGCTCCGGATAAATTTGATCATGATTTCAAGAAGAAAGACGTCATTGGAATGATCGTGAAGATTTAATTTCTCTCCAAATGGCCGAATTTTCCAGGCTGGAGAATGACTGCATTACAATTTATAATAGCTATTATCAATTGATCCATATATATATATATATAAATATAAATATATATATAAATATATATATACATGTGGGTTTGAGTCAAAATTTGAGCCCTGTGACTGCATATATGACGACAGATTTTAGCACTTGTTTACTGTAATATTAATCATTTAGCTATTGGGGTACTCAGTTTTTACCCATACATACCCATACCCGTATTCCGATTTTACCCCCTGGACATCGCTATTATATCCCCAGGATATGCCCATCAAGCCGTTAAATTCACATTAGATCCATTAAACCAGAAAATTCCCTTTACATTCCCATTAAATAAGGATATGCCTCTTACATTCTCCTGAAATCATTGAATTGGGTCTATCTGCTTGAAGAACTAAGCTGAGCAGCAGCATCTGAAATCTCCAGGCACATCCAGGCACTATAGCAACTATTTGTTGAATAGTTCTAGCTCGCTAGCACAGTTATACTGTGCATGTATGTATTCATATATATATATGTGTGTGTGTGTACACATAGTATATATGTCTTATACACATTGTATATATTCGAAGGAAATTAGAAGTCAAACTTCCGACAATATGGACAGATGAAAAAGCAGAGGTGAGAAGAATCAGAGAAGAGAAGAGAAGAACAAGATCAGAGAAGAGAAAGAGTCAGAATAAAGAAGATGCAGGTGCGCGAAAAGGTAGGAAAGTCGCGAAACACTGTGTTTTTCCAGTGTTTTGTGGCTCCAGACGGTCGAAAAGTAGGCTCGCTAAAGTGCGGCGCGTGCGGAGCCATCTGGCCAGATGAGAGTTGAAAAATTGCGCGCTGTTGTGGCGCGAAGCACATGTCGAAGTCAAAATGCACAGAAAGACCTCATGTTCGGAGCATTTTTGGAAGTTGAAAAAGTGCACGCCGTTGTGGCGCAAAGCACATTTCAAAGTGAAAAGTGTAAAAAACGGACGGACTTGTGGAAGTTGAGCTGTTGAATAAAGTTGCGACGCGAAGCACATTTCGAAGTAAAAATGTGCAGAACGCTTCAGTGTCGGAGCACTTTTGGCAGTTAAGATGTCGAAAAAATGCGCGCCGTTGTGGCGTGCAGCACATTCTCATTTCGAAGTCAAAATGGCAAGCGGCAACCAACAACAACAACAACAACAAAAACAACCACAACATCATTTACAACAACTACAACAACTACAACAATTACAACTACAACATTGCAACTACATCAACATCAACTTCAGCTACAGCTTCAACTAGACCACAATACAACTAGAATTGCATTACACTAATTACACCACATGGCATTGCACTATAACACACCACACTACATCCAGCAGCAGTTGTGGTGGAGGTGGCCGCTGCAACCACTCCAAAAGCACAGCTCCAACCACCTTTCGGTCCGTCAATGTATTCACTCTGCCATCCGTGCATCGCAACAACTCACTTCTCCTATAGTGTCCTATTTTTGAAACTTCCGCCACCACCTTACACAATACTACTGGTACATACATACATACATACATACATACATACATACATATATATATATAGAATTATATAGATATATATATATATATAAAGAGGCTAAACAATCATATGCACATAAATGCCCGCATATGCATATTCTACACAATTAGAACATCAACTACCCAAAAAGGGGACTTACATCGACCAGCGCTTAGGATGCGACGAAAGCATTGAGACTTGGTGGCCGCCTTGGGGGATCCATGTTCCGTCTGCTGGAGAGCATGAATTGGATGTTTCACTGATCCCCCAGAGCTGGCAATGGGAAACCTATCATTCATATACATCCTGCTGATGTAATTATTTGTTTGGCAAACACGGGGTCGTTCTAGCCATCCATGGTAGATAACTAGAGGGGAACAAAGAAATCAAAAACAACATTAAAACATCAAATGGTTCCTATTCCAGTTTTTCCATTCCAACAATATCAACAATTTGGGATTCAATCTTTTGTTGAACTATATCCAAGCCAATTGATCTAATTGTTCCATATGATCCCCATGGTGCCCCCCAGTTCTAAGTTGCTTTATAACATGTGATAAACCCATTGTAGACATTTTTCGTCATTTACATGCATTTACCATCTCCCCGCCCAGTTGATACCATGGTTTCATTCGTTTTCTTCGCGTTTCCCAAGGATTTTCCCAACGTTTTGATGGACCCCGGAGTTCCGCCCAGGAAGTCGCTGCGCGCCACTTTGGAGTCCATGGATGTGGAGCTGCAACGGATGATGGCCGAGGGCCAGGACGGCCACGTGAATACGCAAGACTTTGCGCCCTCCACGGTGCGGACAGGGACGGGATGAGGTGGAGATCACCACTTTTTTCAGGCCTTAAAAACACATGATTTGATTGAATTGTCAATTGAAACTATTTGGGTAGGAAATAGATAAAATTTATTGTTGCTATAGGTAAATAATGCCAACACCGGATTAATAAACCCACCCACCCCACAAGGTCCAGATGGACCTTGTAGAGCCTTTCCTGTTTCACCCCTCAATAATAAACGCCTCTGAACCATAACATTTTGGATATGGCTTACGTCAATTAGATCTTCATAGAATTGGATTTGATAAGATTTGATTGTTAAAATCTCATGGATCCCATAAGATTCCATTGGGTTTGATGAGATTTGATTGCTAAAATCTCATGGGTCCCATGAGATTCCATTGGGTTTGATAAGATTTGATTGTTAAAATAGCATGGATCCCATAAGATTCCATTGTGGTTGAGATTTTATTGCTAAAATCCCATGGGCCCCCCAAGATTCCATTGGGTATGATGAGACTTGATTGCTAAAATCTCATGGATCCCAAAAGATTCCGTTGGATTTGACGAGATTTGATTGCCAAAATCTCATGGGCCCCATAAGATTCCATTGGATTTGATGAGGTTTGATGGCTTAAACCTCCTGGAATCCAAAAGCCCCATAAGATTCTATTGGGTTTGACTGGGTTTGATTGCTAAAATCTTTGGATCTCATCAAATTCCAGTGGGTTTGATGAGGTTTGATTGCTAAAACTTCATGGATCCCATTTGATTCCATTGGATTTGATGGGGTTTGATTGTTAAAACGTCATGGATCCCACAGGATTCCATTGGATTTGATGAGGGTTTGATTGCTGAAATCTCCTGGGCCCCATAAAATTCCAGTAGATTTGATGAGATTTGATTGCTAAAATCGCATGGACCCCATAAGATTCCATTGGGTTTGATGAGGCTTGATTGCTAAAATCCCATGGGTCCCATAGGATTCCATTGGGTTTGATGAGTTTTGACTGCTAAATCCTCATGGATCCCTAAGATTCCATTGGAATGAATGGGCAAATCCAAAGAAAACACATTAGGGACACGGGTGGTTGATTAATCAGGGGGCAGCTTGGTTATTATTAATGGGGGACATGGCATGGGCTCATGGGGGGTACCCTTTGGGAGCTATCCAATCTGATGATCTTTAAAATCAATTTAATTATAAATCCATCATGCGGGGGATATGTTTTTTCAAATCTTCAATGGTCAGCAGTGATGGGTTCTCATGGATCCCATAAGGTTCCATTGGGCTTGATGAGATTTGATTGCTGAAATCTCATGGGTCCCATAAGATTCCATTGTATTTGATGAGATTTGGCTGCTAAAATTTCATGGATCCCATAAAATTCCATTGGGTTGGATGAGATTTGATTGCTAAAATCTGATGGATCCCAAAAGATTCCAGTGGATTTGGTGAAATTGATTGCTAAAATCTCATGGGTCTCTTTAGATTCCATTGCACTTGATGAGGTTTGATTGCTAAAGTTTCATGGACCCCATAAAATTCCATTGGGTTGGATGAGATTGGAATTCTAAAACCTCATGGGTCCCAAAAGATTCCATTGGGTTTGATGGGTTTTGATTGCTAAAATCTCATGGGCCCCATAAGATCGCATTGGGTTTTTAAAATCCCATGGATCCCAGAAGATGCCATTGGATTTCTAAAACCTCATGGGTCCCGAAAGATTCCACTGGATTTGATGGAATTTGATTACTAAAATCACCTGGGTCCCTTTAGATTCCATTGGGTTTGATGAGATTTGATTGCTAAAATTTCATGGATCCCAAAAAAACCCAGTGGATTTGATGAGGTTTGATTGATAAAATCGCATGGGTCCCACAAGATTCCAGTGGATTTGATGAGGCTCGATTGCTAAAATCCCATGGGTCCCATAGGATTCCATTGGATTTGATGAGATTTGATTGCTAAAATCTCATGGATCCCAAAAGATTCCAGTGGATTTGATGAAAAATGATTGCTAAAATCTCATGCGCCCCTTTAGATTCCATTGGACTTGATGAGGTTTGATTGCTAAAATCTCATGGCTCTGAGATTGATGAGACATGATGAGAAACAAAAAGAATTGGACATAAATAATTTTGGTTTAAAAAAAGGGAATTTCAGCACTGGAGGGGTGATGAGAAACAAAAAGATTTGGAAATAAAGAATTTTGGTCAAAAAAAGGAGAATTGCAGCACTGGTGGTTTATTAATCGGGGGTAGGTTGATTAATCGGGAGGGGTTAATTAATCCTGACTTGACATTATATATATCATTTGGGGTCTGCTAATTTATAATTAATATTAATAATGATTTGCACTCATCTAGAGTCCCATTTGGGATTTAAACGTTGCGAATAAGGGCCCGATAAACCAGTATTGTTTTTGGGTATTTAAATGTATTTGATATATATATATAGTTATATATATAATATTTATTTATTTATACTTATATGTTGATATTTCAGGGGAATTCAATGTGATAAAACTTGAGTTTTGCTCGGCGGTCGGCCGGGTGAGGTTAGAGCCTTCTTGGACAACAAGGCGAAATTTGAGGAGCAGAAACGCCGCTTGTCGCGGGTTAAAAGATGGGTAAAGACCCTCTGGTAGCCTATGGTAAATTAAGGTAGATGTGGGAAAACCATGAAACCCAAAGAAAATTATCTTGGTGTTTTTCCACACGTTATTAAACGTTTACCCTAGGGTAACTTAATGTAGCGAGGTGGACAATTACCATTTTAACTGGGTAAATCATCGAACTAAATCGGCCATGGTTTCCATAGCTTTGTTAAATTACCGGTGGGTATATAATTAGGTGAAGGATGTTGGGTAGATAAATCTATAGTTCATGGAGGTTACTGGCGGCCCAGTTTGTAGTGATTCTAGTTGCCAAATTATTGCAGTACTTTGGGGTTGAGGTTCAATCAACGACAAGTACTTGGACATTTATTGGTCACACTCAGGGTACAACTAACCAACAAAGAAAACATAAGACAAGATACTGTCCATTACTGTCCTTTAGGGATCTCCAGGGCAGATTCTGCATGTGCGCTACAAGGCGTCCTTAATTGCAGCCACGGATCCCAGCAGCCATTGATACAAATCCAGTGAGTTTCCCATAGTTTACCTTGGGGCAGGTGAAAATTCCACAGCTGTTGCTGTGGTAAGTGCTGACTATGTAGCTCTAGGGATCTATTCAGACATACTCAGACAAAACACGGTAGGTTCCAAAAAACTGTTGAATAGCACCCAGGCCGCGCCATATGATAGTGATGACTAGCGACATACCAACCATGGTTTGAGGCAGTTCGTTCTGGAAATCAATCCGCCGTGTGGGAAAACTTCCCGTCTATGCCTCGATGAAAAGATATCAAGAGGCTCGCAATGGATACATCCCATTCCTTTTGATATCCACGTTTATCTGGTTGGTGGTTTGGAACATTTTTTATTTTTCCATATATTGGGAATAATCATCCCAACTAGCTAATATTTTTCAGAGGGGTAGGTATACCACCAACCAGTTACGATTTCCAACCCATCCGACTTTTGGGGTACCCAGGCTACAAATGCCCAATCACTGGACCAAATCCATGAGTCAAAGCAGTTCACGGTGGCCCCAAAAAATGCACCACTTGGCCTTGGGGCTCCCAGCTTGCTAGTTTCAGGTTGGTGGATGCTGATAGCATTTAATTGTTTATTAATGTTTATTATGTGTACATATATGTATACCATTTATATCTATATCTATACTGCACAAAGACCTACACCCACATTTCAAGACCAATTTTTCCAAGATCCTTTCAATCAACAAATAATTAGGACGCTAAATAGATCGCTGAGTGGGATGCGGGTTTAAAAAAATACCGTTTTCAACTGGCTTACAGTTCCATTTGAAGTTCCTGACTGGGGCGATCCTCCGTCCGCTATTCCAGTGAATCATGAGATTCAGTGGTAGGGTCCTACTGTGGCATCAGCAGATTGGATGTGGGGAAATTCACATCAGCCTTTTTCATTAAACCGGTAGAAACCATAGATTCCTTGCAGGTTTTCCTCTAAACCAAGCCAATGTATGTCATGTAGTGCTGGTGAAATCTGATCGTTTGATGGTCAAATTCCCGTGGGCCCGCGTTTTTTTAACTTTCATTTTACTTGGTTTAAGATGGTTTAAGATCATCACGTGTGACAAAAAATCCTGATTTGTTTGCTTGCGAAGCCTTTCTTTTGCCTTTTTGAAACCATGAATCCATGATAATCCCATGTGCATTCATTCCTTGCTGGTTAACATCCAATCTTTGCTGATTGGTTTCTAAAGTATTTGCTACTTTAACAAGTCCCAAAGTCTTGCTGCGAAAAAAGGCACAAGTGAAAAAAGTTACACATCTAAAACCCAAAGAACTACAACAAGCAACATCCAACTACCCCCATGACTTTCGCATCAGGCCTTGTCTTGCACTACAAGGAGCGCATCGCCGAGCGTCAGAGCCAATTGGCTTCCGCGGAGGCCGGTGATGCGCGGCTACTGGAGCTGCGCGGAGCCCTGCAGGAGGCCGGGCAAATTGGACAACAAAAAGATCACCTGCACGTACACACATATCATATATATATATACATATAATTAGCATATTTATGATTATAGTTTCATATAATGTATATAGTTAATATATGAAATATATAATAGATATATGTTACCTTCATAAACATAAACATTCACAGATAGATGTAGATACTGGAATGCATGTAAATAAATCAAATGAATTAAGTGATACCAATGGATGGTCCAAGTCCCATACCAAGTAGGTATCCTTGGGCCAGAAGGTCAATGACTTCGATGGAAATCGCGACATTTTTTAGCTTGGTAAGATCATTTTTCGTCAACGTCTGGGAGTTTCTGATCGGACCCTGCCCGCGGCCCGCGCGATGTTTTTGTCAAGATTTCAATGTTTTTTCGGGTCAATTTAGAGAAACACCCTAGTACCCATATGGAGTAGAAGAAAAAAGGATACATATCCATGAATTTCATCAGGGTTCCACCGTGAAAAAATGGTTTCGCACTTGTGTGACACAAAGAAACAATCATTGTTTTATTCACGATATTTCGTAAGTTGGAAACTGCCCAGCAAAGAACGGGGTTTTGCATGATTTAGCCACAAAACCAGTGGTAGCGTGGCATACGAACATGACAATTGATGTGCTTATGTGACCATACCACCTGGGATCTCAATTCATCTCAATTCAATAATTCAGATCTTTAAACCTCCTGGGTTGTTTGATTGGGGTGTTAGCGTTTTAGTTGCCAAAGTCACTATACGCGCTACACCATGAGGAAATGCAGGAAATTTGGAATGAATCCATGATGATTGGGGCGCGTAGTCTTCATTGTGGATCTGAAGAGTGCTTTTTGAAGGTATGGCTGGTCCAAAGTTGGCATTTGAAAGTCCAAACCATCACTTCTACTCTTGCTTCTACTCTTGGTATCTTGGCAGTTTGACGTGGAAACATCAAACCGCCCATTCGAATGTCCATCTAAAGCTGATGTTCATTGTTTTCTATCATATCCGAGCATTTCATGTCGTTGACTCCATCACTGTCAAGAAAATCCTTGAAAACCTCATCCCCATCTCCAGGGGAGATAGTTTCTTCCCAACAAATTTGCACATCTTCCAGCGTTGCGATCAGGCTGAGAAGGCCGTATGGGTGACGAGTGGCATCTTCTATCGTCAGGCTGCCGGGCTTCGAAGCCCCGCTGGGAAATCCCCGAAGTTGATGGCTGATGGAGCCTGAGTTTGCAACTAGGTCAATCGGCTGGATGGGTGGAAACTACCATCTGGTTATTTAACATAGCCATGGAACATGGCCCATTTATAGATGGTTTACCTATTAAAAATGGTGATTTTCCATGGCTATGTTAAATAACCAGATGGGAATCCTTTAGTCTTTTGGTATCAATGGGATTATCTACTCACCAGCTAAGAATTGTCCCTTTTTTTGGCAGGGTATCTAAGATTGACCATGTGAATATCGGTGATTTTCTAGCCGAGCCATGTTGACTAGTTATTGCCACTAGTTTCCTCAGAATTATCAATGTGGTAAAACCAGGTAAAGTTAACAATAAACCATCCCCAATACAGGCTCATTATCGTGTATACCCTTATTTGGGCTGATGTGAAATGACTTCCAATGACTTCCAAATAGTTGGTTGATGGGATGGTTTATTCTTGCTTTTACCACATTATTGTTTATACAGTAGCCTCATCATTCATAGCGGGTCCGAAATTGATGTTGTAAATTCATGAATTTTTATGTTCATGGGCCACGGCTGTGGTTTCTTGGGTTTTGTTCACCCCCCAAAACTTCTTTCCTACACAGGGAAATGGATCAGAACGGGAACAGGGAAAAGATACAAATCCAATGGGCTTTTTCCACTCAAATCCAATGGGCAGAGAATGGGAACCGGGGAACCATTGGATTTGAGTGGTTTTCCCAGCATTCGAACAGCGGCGATCCCGCGTCAGGTCTCTACGGGGATTTGGATTGGAGCCACTAGTGCATTTCAACAACGCCTGGCCCAGCGTGAGCAGCTTGCGACGGAGCTGAGTTTTTTGGAAGGCATGCTGCACGGGGGGGAGGCGGATGGAGAAAGTTCCAGAACTTTCGAAGTCTTTCGTCGCGTTGTATCTTCCTCATGGGAGTTGAATCACGAGAAACGCTTGGGATTGGGGAATATACAGAAATGGGTTTCACCAGCGAAAACGTTTCTTTACCCGATGGACGTAGAATTTCCTTGTGCTCGACAGGAAATTACGCGCAAGACAGAGCCGGTGTTAGCAATTGCCCTCAGGTGTTGCAGATAGGGCACGCCCACAAAAACCAGACAGTTTGAAAAAGGTGCTCTTCAGCAAGCTATAAGTGGCAGATAGTCAGTCTATTAAAAACCAAGAATTGAATTTTTGGGGTTGAAGGCTTGAAAATGTTGGATTGGATTAGATTCGATAGACCCTGGTCAGGAGCATCATATAGGCACAACAAAACTCGCTATAGCAGGCCGGGGGAGCCCTGAAGACATTGGTTGAAGGGATGTCATTTAACTGTGCAGGTGCCAAGTTGGAGGAAGCACCAGGGTCGTGAAGGCAGGCAATCGGGCTCCATTGAAGCTTGGGTGAAGTTTCCCGGACATTGGATCACTATTTGGAAACCATCGAGGTGCATATGCCTCATACAGATACTGTACAGCAATGATGTGATGTCAGTTGCCTCTGAAGCATCAAGTTCCGGTCTTCCAGGAAGATTGATCAAATTTGTGGAGTTGAAGGGTTCGATGATGGCGCTGCGATTTTGGCAGCTGGGCTGCCTTGTCTACATATATCTACATACTTTTTTGGGTTTGCGGCATGTTGAAAATGCTGCTCCAACCCAGTTGTAGCTCGATAGGGCACCGAAAACTCGGTGAGCCTGACCGATAGGCGCAAGAGCATCATCAACCAATAAATAAATAAGAATTTGTATTATTATGTTCTGTTTATCTTCTGGAAATAAAATAATTTCGTGGCAAAAATATTGAATAATATTATTACCAGTAGTACCGCACAAGGCGGATCAAGGCGGTGGCGGAAGTTTCAAAAATGCAAAACCTATAGGAGAGGTGAGTTGGTGTGACGCAAAAATGGCAGAGCGAACCCACTGATGGATTGAAAGGTGGTTGAGTGTTTCTCCCTTTCTGTCTCTCTTTCTCTCTTTCTCTCTGTGTCTCTCTTTCGCCATCTATCTACAGAGCTACCTTTCTAGCCATCTGCCTATCTACCTGTCTATTCATGTATCTATCGATCGATTTGTTTATTCACCTATCTATTAAACTGTCTATCTTTCTGTCTATCCAGCCATTCATCCATCCACTTACTTCTCTCTGTTAGTGTTTTTTTCCGTCCATCTCTTCATCGATCCATGTCCACAGCTATCCATCACCATGTTCTTCGTTCTGTTTCTCTATCGATTCATCCATGCATCTGTCTCTGCTGAAGATGCCTCTTGTACTGCGCCTGCCACGAAAAATGCATCTGTGCAGATCCTCGTCAAATCTCCCACGCCTGCCATCGTTTTTGAAAATGCTACAAAACCCTCACGTTTTAGTCACTTTTCAGTGGATGCACAATCCACGCCACCTACCGTACGAAACGACGTCTGAACGTCCAAAATGTCGCCGAGACCCTCAATTTTTAACACTTTTGACTTCGAAATGTGCTTCGCGCCACAACGCCGTGCACTTTTTCGACATCTCAACTTCCAAAAGTGCTCCGAGACCGCCAGTTTTTAACACCTTTGACTTCCAAATGTGCTTCGCGCCACAACGGCGTGCACTTTTTCGACATCTCAACTTCCAAAAGTGCTCCGGGACCCTCAGTTTTTAACACTTTTGACTTCGAAATGTGCTTCGCGCCACAACGCCGTGCACTTTTTCAACATCTCAACTTCCAAAAGCGGTCCGACGCTGAGGTGTTTTGTACCTTTTCACTTCGAAATCGGCTTCGCGCCACAAGGGCGTGCAACTTTTCATCTCTCATCTCCCCAGATGTCTCTGCACCCGCCGGTGGGTGGGGCCCCACCGCTTCTGCCACTTGGAAAAAGCTTGGGGCGTTGCATGGAGCTTGCATCGGGCTGACGGCGTCCCAGGGCGTTGAGCAGCTGCTTCAAGCCTTGTCTGTGGCCTTGCAGCGAGAAAACGCAAGAGCCGTGCTCCGGCGCTTGCCCCAGCAGACGACGTCTCCTGCTTCGCCGCGCCCTAGCCGTGCCAACGCCCACGTCTTGCACCAGCCAGCGCCCGAGTGAGTGAAGCCTTTTTTGTTTAAGCTTGCCTTTCTCGGGCAAACTCTTGTCGCCTTCGGGCGGCTGCTTCCCTTACCTGCGCCTTCCCTGCCGAAGGGCAGGAAGGTTTTTCGCAGGCAAGCGAGGCGACAGCCTTTTCGCCACGGCAGTTGGGCACTTTGCATTCCAATCGCGTTGCCCTGCTGGCATCGCTGATTTTGCCAGCTTGGTCGCCCATTTTTCCTTGCCGTTTTTGCCTTACATTGTAGGGTTTGCCAGTGGCCCATCAAATGATGGGTGAGAACCCGTTAGACTCCGTGCAGTTTTCAGGAGCACTACCAAGGGAATTATGTATAATGTTGGTTACTGATTAGTGTGGGGAGCCCCCCCCCCCAAACAAATTTGGGTAACAGAATAGTGTGGAAAAAACAAATTACCGGGTACAGAATAGTGTAAAATCAAAAAAATTGATAGATTTAAATTGATTTTAATTTATTTTGAATTGATTTCAATTTATTTTGAATTGATTTCAATTTACTTTCAATTGATTTCAATTTACTTTCAATTGATTTCAATTTACTTTCAATTGATTTCAATTTACTTTCAATTGATTTCAATTTACTTTCAATTGATTTCAATTTATTTTGAATTGATTTCAATTTACTTTCAATTGATTTCAATTTACTTTCAATTGATTTCAATTTATTTTGAATTGATTTCAATTAATTACTTTCAATTGATTTCAATTTATTTTGAATTGATTTCAATTTACTTTCAATTGATTTCAATTTATTTTGAATTGATTTCAATTTACTTTCAATTGATTTCAATTTACTTTCAATTGATTTCAATTTACTTTCAATTGATTTCAATTTACTTTCAATTGATTTCAATTTACTTTCAATTGATTTCAATTTATTTTGAATTGATTTCAATTTACTTTCAATTGATTTCAATTTACTTTCAATTGATTTCAATTTACTTTCAATTGATTTCAATTTATTTTGAATTGATTTCAATTTAATTTTACAATTGATTTCAATTTATTTTGAATTGATTTCAATTTACTTTCAATTGATTTCAATTTATTTTGAATTGATTTCAATTTACTTTCAATTGATTTCAATTTACTTTCAATTGATTTCAATTTACTTGCAATTGATTTCAATTTACTTGCAATTGATTTCAATGTTAAAAAACAAAATCACCTCAGGAAGCAGCTGGACACAATAGTGTACCCTCAAACAAACCATACTATTGTGTATCAGGATCATTCATGTTTTTTTTTGCTTGGCTAAAACTGATCCTTTGGAAAGCCTTTGGTTTTGAATCCAAGAAAAATGAAGCTAAGTAAAAGGAAACAAACTTTAGCAAAGGAAAAAGAAAAGGAAATGGTTGAAAAAAAAAAATCACCTCAGGAAGCAGCTGGACACAATAGTGTGCCCCCAAACAAACCACACTATTGTGTATCAGGGTTGCTCATGGACTACCCCCTTGAAAAATTGTTTGAGTCATGTTTTTTAATTGGGTTTTAATAAGGCATCATATATTTTGGGAAATTGTGCATTTCTGAGAATTCTAAATAAAAGAAACTAATTAATTGAGAAAATAAAAAAAAGCTTTAGCAAAGGAAAATGTAAAGGAAATGTTAAAAAACAAAATCACCTCAGGAAGCAGCTGGACACAATAGTGTACCCTCAAACAAACCATACTATTGTGTATCATGATCATTCATGTTTTTTTTGCTTGGCTGAAACTAATCCTTTGGAAAGCCTTTGGTTTTGATTCCAAGAAAAATGAAGCTAAGTAAAAGGAAACAAACTTTAGCAAAGGAAAAGGAAAAGGAAATGGTTGAAAAAAAACAATCACCTCAGGAAGCAGCTGGACACAATAGTGTACCCCCAAACAAACCACACTATTGTGTATCAGGGTTGCTCATGGACTACCCCCTTGAAAAATTGTTTGAGTCATGTTTTTTAATTGGGTTTTAATAAGGCATCATATATTTTGGGAAATTGTGCATTTCTGAGAATTCTAAATAAAAGAAACTAATTAATTGAGAAAATAAAAAAACTTTAGCAAAGGAAAATGTAAAGGAAATGTTAAAAAACAAAATCACCTCAGGAAGCAGCTGGACACAATAGTGTACCCTCAAACAAACCATACTATTGTGTATCATGATCATTCATGTTTTTTTTTGCTTGGCTGAAACTAATCCTTTGGAAAGCCTTTGGTTTTGATTCCAAGAAAAATGAAGCTAAGTAAAAGGAAACAAACTTTAGCAAAGGAAAAGGAAAAGGAAATTGTTGAAAAAAAAACAATCACCTCAGGAAGCAGCTGGACACAATAGTGTACCCCCAAACAAACCACACTATTGTGTATCAGGGTTGCTCATGGACTACCCCCTTGAAAAATTGTTTGAGTCATGTTTTTTAATTGGGTTTTAATAAGGCATCATATATTTTGGGAAATTGTGCATTTCTGAGAATTCTAAATAAAAGAAACTAATTAATTGAGAAAATAAAAAAAGCTTTAGCAAAGGAAAATGTAAAGGAAATGTTAAAAAACAAAATCACCTCAGGAAGCAGCTGGACACAATAGTGTACCCTCAAACAAACCATACTATTGTGTATCATGATCATTCATGTTTTTTTTGCTTGGCTGAAACTAATCCTTTGGAAAGCCTTTGGTTTTGATTCCAAGAAAAATGAAGCTAAGTAAAAGGAAACAAACTTTAGCAAAGGAAAAGGAAAAGGAAATTGTTGAAAAAAAACAATCACCTCAGGAAGCAGCTGGACACAATAGTGTACCCCCAAACAAACCACACTATTGTGTATCAGGGTTGCTCATGGACTACCCCCTTGAAAAATTGTTTGAGTCATGTTTTTTAATTGGGTTTTAATAAGGCATCATATATTTTGGGAAATTGTGCATTTCTGAGAATTCTAAATAAAAGAAACTAATTGAGAAAATAAAAAAAAGCTTTAGCAAAGGAAAATGCAAAGGGAATGTTAAAAAACAACATCACCTCAGGAAGCAGCTGGACACAATAGTGTACCCTCAAACAAACCATACTATTGTGTATCAGGATCATTCATGTTTTTTTTTTTGCTTGGCTAAAACTGATCCTTTGGAAAGCCTTTGGTTTTGATTCCAAGAAGGATGAAGCTAAGTAAAAGGAAACAAACTTTAGTAAATGAAAAGGGAAAGGAAATGCTTGAAAAAAAAACATAACCTCAGGAAGCAGCTGGACACAATAGTGTACCCTCAAACAAACCATACTATTGTGTATCATGATCATTCATGTTTTTTTTTTGCTTGGCTGAAACTCATCCTTTGGAAAGCCTTTGGTTTTGATTGCAATTGATTTCAATTCATTTTCAACTGATGTTCAATTGATTTCAAATGATTTCAAATTAATTTCGATTGATTTTCAATTTGTTTAATTAAATTGTTTTTCAATTGATTTTCACTTTACTTTGAATTGATTTCAACTTAATTTATTAATTAACAAAGGAATTGCTTTTCATTTGATTTCAATCCATTTTCATCTCACATGGGGGGATTTATTTCTTTGCTTGTGAAGGCTCAAGCCCATTCTAGCCAGCTTCTTTGCATCCCATCAGCTCAGCCATGGAGCAATTCAACACTGAGATGGACAAGCTCAGGAAGGACTACAATTATCATCTTGTGGAATGGTTTTCCAACCTCAGGAATATCCTGACTCTGGAGAAATTCTCTTTGAGTCCTAAGGCTTGGATTTGTTTTTTTGTTTCCCAATGGGAAATCCATTAATGAATTAGTTAATGAGTTTTATTTTTGGGTGGTTCTTTAAGCAACTCCATGAAGGTGGTGGCTCTGACAGCTGAGATGGCTGACATCAAGGTGAAGCTCAGGTGCTCTCAGGAACAGTTTGTGGACATGCTGCAGAAGTACTACACTCAGCAGTTGGTTCAGCTTGAGGATCCTGATGCTGTGCCTGATTGGGTGATGCTCAGTTTCAGGAATGAACTCAGTCAGATCTTCAAAGACTTCAAGGGTTACCCAAAGATCACTCAGGGGCAATGGATTAGGATTCTCAAGACAGCTCTTCAGGATGCTCAGGATGGTTGGCCATCAGAGTGTATCCCTCTTCCTCAGCCTGCCCAGCCTGCCCAACCTGCTAAGTCTGATACATTTGATGCTACCCTCAGCAAGTTTCAGGATATGGAAAAGGAGTTGAATGCACAGCCTGACCATGAGGTGATGGAGGTGGCTAAGGACTCTCAGGTCTTAGACTCTCAGCCTATGGGGAGTGATGATGAAGCACCATCAGATACACCCTTTGGGTCCCAGGAGCTGGTTGATGATTCTCAGGTCTTAGACTCTCAGCCTATGAGCAGTGATGATTCAGCATCAGATCCATCCTCAGATGCTGAGCCCAAGTCCAAGAAGGCCAAGACTGAAGAGCCCTAGAGGACTGAAGGGTGTTTCTGGTGGTGTGGGATTAGTGCTCAGCTTGGACATAATCTTAGACTTTTGGCAATTTTGATTAATTAATTAATTAATCAATTAATTAATTAGCATGCTTATGCATGTTTAAGTTTCTTATAATTGAGTAATTAGCTAATTAATTAACCAATGAAGTTGTAGCATGTTCATATTTGTGCATGTCTATGTGATTCCTCAGCTTTTTAAGGCTCAAATCTAAGGGCCAGGACTAATCAACCTTTGCTCCATATCATCTCAGCTATGTCTTTCTTTGACTATCATGGGAGAGGCTCAGGCAAACCTCATCCTATGTTTGAAGAGAAGCCTGCTGAGGTGCCTGACAAGGTTTTGTGGACTCAGAAGGGTGGCCAAGGGCGCTACCAGCTTCAGCCCAATGATCCACCTCAGGAACCCTCATGCTTAGCACTCTTCAACAACATGGACTCAGAAAACATTGTGGAGTATCCTAGATACCTTAGGGAGCCTAAGGTTGACTGTGGCAATGGCCATCAAGTCTTCCTCAGCAGAATTCCCTGGCAATCAGGATGTAGAGAATGCTCTGTGCCTGGGTTGAACAAATGGATGATGTTTTTTTTGGTGGTGTGTGTTTGTGTGTTTTAGCATAGGACAATGAGCATTAATTAACTGATATAGTTGTCATTTTTTTCATGGACACCATTTGCAACCCTGCAGGAACACAATGGCTGGTCTCAGGAAGTGGTTCAAAGATATTACACTGAGGTGCTCAGAATGGACCCATTGCCTTGGGGTGCATTTGTAGCTCCTCAGTTCAGACAAGCTCAGTTCAAGCCTCCTGAGCCTGATCCACCAGCTGGATTCTCAGCAGCAACTGCTTCTTCATCAACAGGGAAGGGCTCAGGCAGACCTCATCAGCCCTTCAATGTGCTAGATGCTGCTTTATCAAATATGCAGAGAAGCTCAGTTTGGAAGCCTCAGCCTATCAGGACTGCCAATGATGCTCAGGGCTATGTCAAGTCTGAGCTCCAAAAGCTGAACATCAATGAGATTGACAAGCTCCTGGACAACTCAGAATCAGATCAGAAGCTCAGTGACTTGGACAATGTACCTGACCTGATTGAGGACATGAAGTCCAAGATTCTTCTACTTGAGCAGGCACTTGAATCTCAGGAGCTCACAATGCTTAGGCTCAGGAAAGATGCTAAGAACATGGAAGAGGAGCAAGGTGAGCTCAGGGCTTTGCATGCTGAGCTTCAACTCTCAGTGAAAAGATCTCAGTCCTACTGGGAGCAGAAGCTGTCTCAGGATCTTGTGAATAAGGAAGCTCTGAGAAAGTTCATGGAAACTCATCAAATGAGTGAACTAGATCTCAGGCAGCTGATGCAAAAGTCTCCTCAGATTGATCACAAGCCTCAGGACTCAGTGAAGGAAGTTGTGGATGTATAATTAACTCAGGTGCATGACTGCTGAGCAGATATATAGTTAATTAGAAGCCTTAGTCACTTCCTGAGTAATTATACCAGAGGCATTGTGAAGAATTTCTTAGCTGGCAGAAAAAAATGAGTGCAGCTCTGAAGTGATGTGGGTGGTTTTGCCACTGCTGCTGGTTGTTGTTGCAGTTTAGAATAATTAATTGATTAATTAATATTTTAATTAGTTAATTACTTAATTAACTAATTAATGAATCAATAATTAATCAATTATTTAGTTAATTAATTGATTACTTTAGCATAAGTAATGGGTAATGTTGGACATTAACATCACTGAGTTTAGTGTCAAATAATGGGTCTTTCAGTTTTGCTATCAGTTTCTTGTCCCTGACAGGACCTCAGCATTCTGCCTACCTCACTCCGCATTAAGGTCTTCAGCAAGCTTGAGTGATTTTCTTTTACATTGAGCTAAGCAAGGCTTAATGATTTTTGAATGTCTCAGCATGTGACTATCAGCAGGACACACTGGCAAAAGATGGCTGGGAAAGTGATGGGGTTGGGTAGAGTTGCAAGCACTAAGATAATTAATTAATTACTGAGATTGAACTTAGCAGCATGGACTAAGATTGAATTTAGCAGATGTGAATCAATTTAGATTTGATATTCTTTAAAATAATTACTTGGATGGATGATTGTTTTTTTCACCTCAGGAAGAAGCTGGACACAATAGTGTACCCTCAAACAAACCATACTATTGTGTATCAGGATCATTCATGTTTTTTTTTGCTTGGCTGAAACTAATCCTTTGGAAAGCCTTTGGTTTTGATTCCAAGAAGAATGAAGCTAAGTAAAAGGAAACAAACTTTAGTAAAGGAAAAGGGAAAGGAAATGCTTGAAAAAAAAAATATATAACCTCAGGAAGCAGCTGGACACAATAGTGTACCCTCAAACAAACCATACTATTGTGTATCAGGGTTGCTCATGGACTACCCTCTTGAAAAATTGTTTGAGTCATGTTTTTTAATTGGGTTTTAATAAGGCATTATATATATATAGTTTGGGAAATTGAGCATTTCTGAGAATTCTAAATAAAAGAAACTAATTGAGAAAATAAAAGACATAAACTTTAGCAAAGGAAAATGTAAAGGGAATGTTAAAAAACAAAATCACCTCAGGAAGCAGCTGGACACAATAGTGTACCCTCAAACAAACCATACTATGGTGTATCATGATCATTCATGTTTTTTTTGCTTGGCTGAAACTAATTCTTTGGAAAGCCTTTGGTTTTGAATCCAAGAAAAATGAAGCTAAGTAAAAGGAAACAAACTTTAGCAAAGGAAAAAGAAAAGGTAATGGTTGAAAAAACAAAACAATCACCTCAGGAAGCAGCTGGACACAATAGTGTACCCCCAAACAAACCACACTATTGTGTATCATGATCATTCATGTTTTTTTTTGCTTGGCTGAAACTAATCCTTTGGAAAGCCTTTGGTTTTGAATCCAAGAAAAATGAAGCTAAGTAAAAGGAAACAAACTTTAGCAAAGGAAAAAGAAAAGGAAATGGTTGGAAAAAAAACAATCACCTCAGGAAGCAGCTGGACACAATAGTGTACCCCCAAACAAACCACACTATTGTGTATCAGGGTTGCTCATGGACTACCCTCTTGAAAAATTGTTTGAGTCATGTTTTTTAATTGGGTTTTAATAAGGCATCATATATTTTGAGAAATTGAGCATTTCTGAGAATTGTAAATAAAAGAAACTAATTGAGAAAATAAAAATAATAGCAAAGGAAAAGGTAAAGAGAATGTTAAAAAAACACATCAGGAAGCAGCTGGACACAATAGTGTACCCCCAAACAAACCATACTATTGTGTATCATGATCATTCATGTTTTTTTTTGCTTGGCTGAAACTGATCCTTTGGAAAATCTTTACTTAGTTTTGATGTTATATACCAAAGCTTGTGAAGGCTCAGATCCAACTGTGTTGATTTTCTCAGCAATGGTGCTGCTGAAGAGCATGCTGGAATCACTCAGCACCATGAGATCACTTAGCTCCAGAGGACTGAAGGGTGTTTCTGGTGGGGTATGATTGGTGCTCAGCTTGACCATGGCCTCAGACTTGTGGCAATCTTGATCAGTAATGCATGCTTATGCATGTGTAAGTTTCTTATAATTACTTGCACATGCATCATATTCAATAAGTATATATTTATTGATTCATTATATATAATTGTAGTAAATGAATTAGTCAACTAGATATTTTGCTTGCATGGTGTTGAATTATGCATGTCTATGTGATTCCTCAGCTGCTTTGATCTCAGTGTGATTTCCACCAACTCAGCTGCACTTCTTGCAAGCCATGAGTTCAACTCAGCAGAATCACCCTTGGCAGCAGAAGACAGCTGCCCAAGGCTCAGGAAAAAAGGATGCTGAGGGCAGACATGGGCCCTGGGTATCTCAGCAACTCCTTAGCACTATTCCTGCTGGAATGGTGTATAGATCAGAGAATGGAAAGCATGCTCAGTTGGTGCAACCATGTGATCCTAAGAGACCTTACATCTCTGAGCTGTTCCAGAATCAGGATAAGGAGGTTATGGTCAAGTACCCCAGGTACTTGGATGAGCCTAAGGTTGCCTGTGGTTCCTGTGGAGCTGACATTTTTCTCAGCAGAATTCCTTGGCAGTCAGGATGTGGCAAATGCAGAGTTCCTGGGTGGACTTAGAATAATGTTATTTTTGTTTACCTGTTTTTTGTTCCTGATTTTTATGTGCTTTGAACTAAAGTATTACTGCTAATTACAAGTACCTCAGTGACAGTTCAAAACTAAGTAAACAACATTCATCATATAATTAATTAATTAATCAATTAGCCAATTAATTAATTAATTGAGCAATTCATTACTTGGTAACATCATGAATTAATTGATCAATTACAGTCTACTTTTTTTGTTTCATTCAAAGCAGCTTGCATTGAGGGCTCAGATGGATGGCCTCAGTGGGTGATCCAGTGGTACTACACCAGGATTCTCAGCATGGATCCATTGCCATGGTCTAAGTCAGTGAAGGCAGATTATGGTAAGGCTCAGTTCATGGAAGATCCTTCTGCTTCTAGGCCTTCATCTTCTCAGCGTCCTCCTGAGCCTCTAGGCACACCAGTGATGCCTAAGGCAAGGCCAGCTGATCCACCTCAGGCCAGTGAGTGTCATAGTGGTGGAGCATACTACTTCAGCCAGCTCCAGCAGATGGATCCTGGGGGTAGGTGCTCAGCAATGGCTCTGCTTCTCTCAGATGCTTCCATGAATGATCAACTTCTGGAGGACCTGTTAGTTCACATGGATGAGCTCCAAGAATGCATAGAATTGATGGAACAAGCTCAGAAAATGCAGGAAAGGACTGTGGCCAGACTGAAGACTGATCTCAGCTTGATGGAAGATGTGTCTCAGGAGACTTCAAACAGCATCATTGCTTTCCAAGGAACCCATGAGAACATGCTTTTAATGAAAGAGGCAGTACTAGCTGAGGAGGAGGCTCAGCAGGAGGCTGAAAAAGCTGAGAGGGAGGCTCAGGAGGCTCAGGATGCTTTCATGACTCAGAAACTTGAAGATTTCATAGAGAAGTACCAGATCCCAAGGGACAGGGCTGTCTATTTGCTCAGTCCTCCAGCTAAGAAACAAAAATCTCAGAATGATGAGGATAAGTAGCTGCCTCAGGCAGATGGAACATCACTGAGTGAAATCTCAGTGTCCTTTTTAAATTTGCTTTCAGAAGCAATCCATACAGCTTGAATGAAGGAAAAAGGTGTGCAGATCTGAAGGGATGTGGAGGCTTCTTCTGCAGGTTAATTGTTGGAATTATTTGATTGCATAATTAATTAGTCAATTTGTTTAACACATATTGATTGGTAGTTACTTATTTATCTGATTAATTATTCAATGAACACTATACACTGAGATTAGTGTCAAATAGTTGTATGCTTTGCTCTCAGCTTTTTGTCCCTGACAGGACATCAGCATCCTGAGAAAGTGGAGTACCTGGTGACTACATCATCCTTCTTAGTTGTGAGCATCTTCAGTGCTGAGGAGAAGGAGAAGCCAAGGCACTGAGGTTCTACTTCATAGTGAGACTCGCTATGAAGTAGAACCTCAGACTGTGAGCTACATCATCTTCTACCTCAGCTAGCTTCTCAGTTGTTTCCAACTTTGTCCTGAGCAAGGCTCAGTATGCATCAGCATAGCACTATCAGCAAAAGGCATTGCCAGAAAATGTTTGGGAAAGTGGTGGGTCTGGGTAAGGTTTCAATGACTAAGGTTGAACTCAGCTGAAGGAACCAACCATTTCTATAACTAACTGTTCATTAATTAATCACAATATGTTCAACTTTGATTTGGTGTCATGAGTTATGGCTTAGATTGAACTTGTATGCAACCTCTCAGCTTCTTTGCAATGGTTCAGGTTGATTTTTGAGCTTGTGAAGGATCAAACACAGCCAGTAGAACCTTAGCTCAGTTCCACTGCACTAACTTTTTCAGCCATGGCAATGGGGAAGCTTACTACTCAGGAAGAGGGACAGCTCCTTAAGTTCATCTCAGATCTTGGCATTACACCTCAGGATGCTCTTATCTTCCTCAGTAGGCATGAGATCGACATGGGGGAGCATCAGGACCTCAGGTCTTCCCTTGATGAGCTGCACAAGGTGCATGCCTCCCTCAGTGGACAGTCTCAGGGAAATGGATTCAACCTCATCAAGTGCAAGGCTGAGCTGCTCAACATGCTGGCACTTGTGGAGGTCAGGCAGCATCAGTGGGTCCAGCATTGCCAGAACATTGAGAACCTCAGGGCTGATGTGATCAAGGAGGAGCTTGCTGAGATCAGGGACAAAGTGCTCAGCAGGATGCCCCAGCAGGTCACTGAGGACTCTCAGCATGCTGATGACTCTCAGGTCTTTGGTGACTCTCAGCAGGATGATGACTCTCAGGTCTTTGGTGACTCTCAGCAGGATGATGACTCTCAGGT